CTAGGGTTTAGGGCTTTGGACGTGCAAAACCCTAAACCCTAGGGTTGCGCGCCCGCGCGGCCGGCGGCGAAACCTCTCACAAACCCTAAACCCTACTTTTCTAGGGTTTAGGGTTTAGGGTTTAGGGTTTGGGTGCTGAACTTTCTTTCCGCACTTGCGGCGCTGAGTGCGGCGCCAGCCTGCGCTGAGGTGTACGTACACCCCAAGCCCCAAACCCTAAACCCTAAACCCTAAACCCTAAGCCCTCGGAGAAGAAGGGATTGAAAGGAGCATTTAAATGGTTCAAATGAATAAAATTAGTTTGAATTAATTGTTTATTATTTGTTTTTCCGGGAAAAAAGACAGAGCCAAAACCCCAGCAGCACCAGCAAAGAGCCAAGAACTTCTCCTGCAAACAAAAATTGTCTTTTAATTTTAATTTAATTTAATTTTATTTTTGCTTTATTTTTATTTTGTTTTGTTTTTACTTTTATTTTATTTTCATTTATTAATGCCATTTGTCCATCGCTGCTTTTGCAGCTGCAGCAAATAATAAATACATAGATAATAAATAAATAATTAATAACAAATTAATAAATAGCAAATAAATAAATAAATAATAATAAATATTGATAATAAAAAACTGCTACTCGTTTAATTAGATGCATCTTCATTGATTGATACTATTATTAATTAATTAGCTAAATTAATAAATAAAAAAATGAACAAACAAATAACTCAAATTAATTAAATTAATTAATTTAAATTAATTAAATTAATTAATTTAAATAAATTAAATTACTTTTTTTAGGCCACCGCCTCGCCAAAAAGGCCTCCGTCAAAAAAGTGAAAAAAAAAGCCAGGCCGTTTGCCAAGGGCGAAGTCACCATCACTTCTGCGCACAAACCCTAAACCCTAAACCCTAAACCCTCGGCCCCAGGCGCTGCGGAGCAGAAGTGCTGCAACGGACAAGCCGAGACACAAACGCAAACGATCAAAGGCAGAAACAAATACCTAGCTAGCTAGCTAGCTAGCTAGCTAGCTAGCTAGCTAGCTAGCTAGCCAGCCAGCCGTCTGGTTGGCTTCTTGGCTAGCTGGCTAGCTTGCCATCTAGCTAGCTTTCTGTCCACCGATATATGTCTAGTTAGCTTGCTAGACGGCTAGCTAGCTAGCTAGCTATCTCGCTAGCTAGCTAGCTAGCTACGCATTCATCAACCTAGCTAGCTAGCTTCCCAGCTGGCTAGTCAGCTAGCCACGTACAATCCGTCTATCCATTTGCGTAGCTATCCATCCAGTTAGCTAGCTGGCTAGCTAGCTGACTAGCAAGATGGCTAACTAGCTGGCAAGCTATCTGGCTAGCTAGCTAGCTAGCCAGATAGCTGGCTAGCTAGCTATCTGGCTAGCTAGCTATCTGGCTAGCTAGCTGGCTAGCTAGCTAGCTAGCTGGCTGGCTAACTGCCCGGCTAGCTAGCTGGCTAGCTAGCTGGCTAGATGGCTAGCTAGCTAGCCAGCTAGCTGACCGTATGTGCCAAGAAGGATAAAGAAGACGACGGAGCCCAACTGGTTGAGGAGGTACAGCGCCAGGAACTGCGACAAACCCTAAACCCTAAACCCTAAACACTAAACCCTAAACCCTATACCCTAAGCGCTGCGGCTGCGGGCTGGGACAAAGTGAAGCCCCCAAAGTGCACGCAGAGGAAAAGGGGGCAAGCGGTGCAGTGGTTATTCGCTGTATTGTGGTTTAGGGTTGAGGGTTTAGGGTTTAGGGTTTGTCGCAGTGGAGCTCACTCGCCACCTTCGGAGCAGCTGCAGCAGCAGCGGATATTTAGTGCTCCCCTTTCTCTGCTGCTGCTGCTGCTGCTGCTGCTGCTGCTGCTGCTGCTGCTCCAAGCTCTCCAAGCGCAGCAGCGGCGTAGTGACGCCCCAGAGGGCCCCAACGACCAAAATTCCTAAACCGCCGCAAGCATAAACCCTAAACCCTAAACCCTGAACATCAAACCCTAAACCCCCGGCACATGCAAAACTAACTCCCCAAGAGGCAGGAAATGTAAACCCTCAAACGGTGGTTTACGATCTGTCAATGGAGATGTGTGTGCAAAGGAAAGTCCCAAACCCCAAACCCTAAACTAAACCCTAAACCCTAAACCCCAGAGCCAAGTCCTCTAAACCCTCAGAAGCAAACCCTCAAAAGCTCACCGCTCAACATCCTCAAGCAGCAAGAGTGGCGAAGTCGGAGTGGGTGGCCGAGACATTCGCAAACCCTAAACCCTAAACCCTAAACTGTTGTGCCTGCATGTCTTGGGCGGAAGAGCATGTGCCTGAGGCTCTTTTTGCAAAATCTAAGGATAAATAGACAAAAAAGGAATAAAAATATAAAAATATAAAAAGAAATGAATAATTAGAAGCGGAGTGGAGTGTAGAGAATCCAGCGGTTCCTTGGAGCTGTCTGTACACCCGAACTCACCGCAGCTGTCGCTATGCGATTTGACGCGTTCTTCGCCTTCAGTTAATTTAATTTGCATTAATTAGTTCAAATTAAATCAATTAATTTGATTTTATTCTTTAGTTTTAGACAAAACGACTCAAAAAGTCCCACGGGGATGCTCCCGCATGCAGCGCCAGCTTTCTGGCTTTTTTCCTCCGCGGAACTCTTCCTTCCTCTCCAGCGCTTAATTTGAAGTTTAATTTCCAATTAATTGTTTTAAAAGGGTTTAATTATTATTATAAAAACTATTAAACCCTTTTTTGTTTTGTTTGCTTCGCTGCTGCTGCATTGGCCAGCGCCACTTCTCCTGGCAGCAGCGCAAACCCTCTTCTAATTCAGAGCTGCTCTCAGCCGCTAGGGTTTAGGGTTTAGGGTTTAGGGATTCCTCGAGACTCTTAAGCTTTGCTAGCCACAGGCATCATGACCACAGAGTCATCATCAGGGGCCCCAGGGGGCCCCCAGGGGCCCCTGGAGGGCCTCCTGGGGGGACCCCAGGGGCACTTGAAAGGGGGCCCCCCACCCCCAGGGTCTTCCGAGGGGGCCCCCGGGGGGCCCCCCGAGGGGCCTCCCGCAGCAGAAGCTGCAACTCAGGGGGCCCCACAGGGGCCCCCTGAAGAACCCTTTCGGGGGCCCCCCGAAGAAGCCTCTTCAGAAGGGGTCCCCCACCAAGGAACCCCAACACAGGGGGGCCCCCCACAGGGGGCCCCCGGGGGGCCCCCCTCGCCCTCGGGACCCCCTGAGGGGCCCCCCGAGGGGCCCCCAAGTGTTGAAGATGAAATGGAGCATTCAGCAGAACAAGAAAGACGCATGCGTTCTTTATTTGCTGCTGATGCTGCTGCTCTTGCTGCTGATCCTGCAGCAGCAGCAGCAGCAGCAGCAGCCGCGGCGGAAGTCGTGGCTGCGGGGGCGTCAGAGGAAGCCGCCCGCGCAGCAGCAGCAGCAGCAGCAGCAGCAACAGCAGCAGCAGCAGGACACGTGTGCGAATTCCGTTTATTTCGAATTAATAAAGAAATATATTATGTTTCTAATTTGGAAGAAAGACTTCCTCTTTTGGGAGCAAAAACAATTAATCAACTTTGCAAAACAATTGTCGTCGAGAACACAAAGCATACAGGCGAGTCAGGTGTACGTACACCTCAGCAGCTGCAGCAGCAACTGCAGCAGCAGCTGCAGTTGCTGCTGCAGCAGCAGCAGCTGCAGCAGCAACTGCAGTGTTTGTACATGCGTGCAGCAGTGTCTGTACAGGAATCATTTTGTTTTAAATTGTTTTTAGTTTAATAAATTAATCAGTTAATTAATTAATTTATTACTTATTTATCTAATTTGTGTATTACCAGTTATCATTACTTATTTTATACATTTATTATTTACTATTTGTACACTATTTGTTTTTTTATTTTTATTTATTTTATTTTTATTTATTTTATTTATCTTATTTTTATTTATTTTATTTGTTTTATTTTTCTATTTTGGAACAGGATGAAAACCATTTCGTTCCGTTTGAGTCTGAAAATCTTTGAAGACGAAATCTTCTCTCTGAACTTTTTTGATTCTTTAAAATTCATTTTAATTAAGTATTCTAATCTTAATTTCAATTAATTATTTTAACTTTAATTTTAGTTTTACTTTTGTCTGTTTTTGTTTCTTTTTTGTATTTTAAAAATCCCTTAGTTGCACTTGAAAAAAAAATCATCAAATTTACTTTTTTGCAAAATCTTGATTTCTTTTTGTCTTTTTGTCTCTTTGTCCTTTTTCTTTTGTCCCTTTTCATTGCCAGATTCATTTTGTTTTGATTGTTATTTTATTTGTTTTATTTATTTTTATTTTAATTTTTTGTTTTTTATTTTTCTGTTTTCGCGAGACGGGCGCATGCAGGCGGTGTACGTACACCGCAGCGCCTGCGAAAAGCCCCACTTGCATGCGCGACTTTGCGCAAATATGTTTTTAATTCTGTCTTGCTATTTTTTGTAAATTAAAGTAAATCTAATGTTTGATTTTAATGACATTCTCTATAAATGCAAAAAGAAGCAGAAAAGCGATGAAAAAATGCCTCAAAAGTGTGTCCGTTTTGGGTGTCTTCCGCGGTTAGGGTTTAGGGTTTAGGGTTTAGGGTTTAGGGTTTAGGGTTTAAGGTTTGTGCGTATAGGGCCCGAGGACCGGCTGAACAGCCGCTTCTATTTGGTGGTTTTGCAGTCCAAAGACAAACTTAATGGCGAAAGGGTTAAGGACCTCATAAAAGCGGAAAACGCTAAAGTAGGGTTTAGGGTTTAGGATTTAGGGTTTTGGTTCCTCGTTCTCATCAGGGTTTTCCTCGCAGGCAAATCCGCACCAAACACTTCCTTGCGACTCTGGCCCCACATCTAGCATTCAGGACCCAGGGTTTAGGGTTTAGGGTTTAGGGTTTAGGGTTTGCGTGCAGGTGGGCCGTCAGCTGGGGAACAAGCGTTTGAACTTCAACTTTTGTTCTTCTTTCGAGGGTTTGACGGGTTTCAAAAGAAACGGGGTGGGCCCCCTTGGCAGCAAAAAAGAAATTCCTGTCATTTTGTCTAAACCCTTATTATCTCTTTTTCCCCTTTCTCTCTTTTTGGGGGGGGGGGCCCCCGACCTTAAACTCCAAATAGGACTTTTGGACCTCATTCGAATCACAAACCCTATCATTGGGGTGGTCTGCTGAGTTGTTGCTGCAGCAGCAGCAGCAGCAGCAGCACAGGCAGCAGTTCTAGCAGCTGCAGCAGCAGCAGTTGCGGCAGCAGCAGTTGCGGCAGCAGCAGTTGCAGCAGCAGCAGCAGCAGCAACAGCACAGGCAGCAGTTCTAGCAGCTGGAGCAGCAGCAGTTGCAGCAGCAGCAGTTGCAGCAGAAGCAGCGGTTGCAGCGCATCAAGGGGCAGTTTTATGGCTTAGACAAGCCACATTTTATGGCTGGTGTTGGGCAGCGAGGGTTTAGGGTTTAGGGTTTAGGGTTTAGGGTTTGGGGAGTCTGCGGCGAGCAGGAGTTTGGGCTTTTTTGATTGAAGGACACCAAAAGCGCGAAATGAATTTATTTATTTTAATTGTTTTGAAATCAATTAAAATAAAAGGTGCTTTAAAAGCGTCGTTTGAAAATGGCGAATAATTGGAATTCTAATTGAAATTAAGTGTGTAAAAAAGGCAAAATAGTGCACTAAAAGACTTCAAAAAAGTTGAAGAACCAAAAAAAGACAAAATGCAATTTTTGTCTATAGCCGCTCGCGTTGGGGTGTACGTACACCTGAATTATCTGCGGACGCTGAAGCCACGGGGTGTACATACACCGCAGTACCATGTGGTGGTCCTCAACTTCTTTTTTGCTTTTTAATTATTTGTTTCTTTCTGCATTAATTATTTATTTCTTTTTGCATTAATTATTTATTTCTTTCTACTGCGCCGAGGCCTGGGGCGTGTGCGCAGCTGGGGTGTACATACACGGGAAGGGGGGCCCCACAGCGGTCACGCAAAGCCCGCCGCTGGATCGGGGACTTCCATTTGGTGTTTTTGAGAAATAAATAAATAAATTAATTAATTTTCAAGTTTTATTGTATATTTTACTTACGTAATTGTCTGGGGAGAAATGCGAAAAGGAAAACCTGCATACTGCCCGCAAGGGCGTTTGAGGAACTGCGGCGAAGGCGGGAAGGTCACTGCTTGAAAGACGCTGGAAAATGAACTCATTTAAATTATTATTCAACGTAAAGTAATTAAAACATTAGAATTGATCAAATTATATATTTATTTCAAACCTTTCGACACTTTTCCCCCCAAGGTGTTGCTCTCCCCAGCCAGAGGGTCACCCTGGTGTTGCTGCCGCGTGAGGTGTACGTACACCCTAACCACCCGCTGCGCTGCAAACAATATTACCTCAAACTAAAAAATAAATTTATTTCTTTTCTTTAGAGGATATCCTCAGCCCTTTTGCCTTCTTCTGGTGGCTGGCTTTCTTAAATGCTACGCCTCGCCGGCAACTAGGGTTTAGGGTTTACGATTTAGGGTTTAGGGTTTAGGGATAAGGGTTTGCGACCCAAGTTTCGAGGAGCCAAAAGGCCTGTCTTCGTCAGCGCCGCTTTGTCAGCCGAATTCGCCGCGGCAGTGCCACGCTGCCGCTCAACAGCCAAACCCTAAACCCTAAACCCTAAACCGTAAACCCTTTCGCCATGCTGGGGGCTCTGAAGGGTCACCTGGCCCCGGCTTTATCTTTGGCTGAGGAGAATGAAAGCCGCCAGAGTCTTCGCATCATAGACGAGCGCACCGGTGCGCCTTTCGAGGGTTTAGGGTTTAGGGTTGAGGGTTTAGGGTTTAGGGTTTAAGGCTGAGGGAGAGCTTGGGTTCCGCGTTGAGGGTTCAACTTTTGGAATTTGCCGTCAAGGGTTTATTGCGAAGGGTGTATGCGGTCTTTGCCTGCTGAGGGTTTAGGGTTTAGGGTTTACCTCCTCTGCCCCTACAGCGATTCCTGCTGCTGCTGCTGCTGCTGCTGCTACTGCTGCCGCTGCCGCCACTGCTGCTGCGGCTGCTGCTGCTGTTACTGCTGCTGCTGCTGCTGCCACTGCTGCTGCGGCTGCTGCTGCTGTTACTGCTGCTGCTGCTGCTGCCACTGCTGCCACTGCTGCTGCTCCTGCTCCTGCTGCTCCTGCTCCTGCCGCTACTGCTGCCTCCGCTGCTGCTGCTGCTGCTGCTGCTGCTGCAGGCGCTGAGTACCGCGTGCCGATAAAGCTGCACACAGTCGAGGCGAAAGAACTTGCTGCCATAAGGGCCCCCGGGGGGCCCCCTTTGAGGGTTTTTGACCCGGGGCTTATAAACACTTGTGTCCGCAGCAGCCGCATTTGCTTCATCGACGGCGAGAAGGGAATCCTCAGGTCCCCAAACCCTAAACCCTAAACCCTAAACCCTAAACCCTAAACCCTAAACCCTAAACCCTGAACCCTGAACCTAAACCCTAAATCCTCAGCGGCGCGCCTGCAGCTGGTCGTCCCCAGCAACTGTAGTTCAGCGTTCATGGCTCAGCCTTTAGGGTTTAGGGTTTAGGGTTTAGGGTTTGTGCAGGTACCGGGGCTACGCCATTGAAGAGCTGGCCGCTAGGGTTTGCTACGAAGAGGTTTTTTTTTTGCTGCTGTTTGGCGATTTGCCAACAAAAGGCCAACTGCAGTTTTTGAAAAATAAAATAAAACAAATGGCACAAGTCCCTGAACAAGTCAAGAGTGAGTTTTGCCATTCTTTTATTTATTTACTCATTTATTTATTTATTTTTTATAGTTGTTATTTGATGGTTAAGTGTCTGCATATTTATTCATCTATTATTTAATTATATGCTGCTGCTGCTGCTGCTGCTGCTGCTGCCATGCCGTCACTACTGCTGCTGCTGCTGCTGCTGCTGCTGCTGCCATGCCGTCACTACTGCTGCTGCTGCTGCTGCTGCTGCTGCTGCAGGTTTGATTAAGAGTTTCGACCGGTGTGCGTCTCCGTCGAGCATCTTTTTGGCCGCAGTGGCAGCACTTGGTGCATGCAGCGCATGCAACGCATGCAATGCATGCAGCGCATGCAACGCATGCAACGCATGCAGCCCCAAACAAAGAAGCTTAATTTGGGGCTCTGCTGCGCTGCAAAACAAAAAGACTTTAAACGCTTTCCTCATCCGAGCCGTCGCAGCAGGATTCACCATTGCAGCCAACATCCTCAGGCATCCCCAAACCCTAAACCCTAAACCCTAAGCCCTAAACCCTAAACCCTAAACCCTAAACCCTAAACGCTGAACCGTAAACCCCGAGCCCTAAGTCGTAGGCCATACAATGTTAGCCCTGAACCATAGGCGCGAGCGCAGCGGGACAGCGTAGGGCTGTCCAGCGGCGAAATTTCAAGCCCTAAACCCTGATTTAGGGTTTAGGGTTTGCGGGCAGGCACGTTGAGGGTTTGAGCTTCGTTGACCCACACCCTGATTTGGATTTAGTGGAGAACTTTCTTTACATGATTGACGGGAAGCCCCATGACCCCGTCATTGTCCGGGTACGTAGGGTTTGGGGTTTAGGGTTTAGGGTTTAGGGTTTAGGGTTTTGAATCCCCTTGGGAGCGCTGCCCCTGAGTGGGCTGCTGCGCCTTCCTCTCCTGCCGAGTGCGTCCTCCCCACCGCGCCTTGCCCCCCGCCTTCGGTTTAGGGTTTAGGGTTTAGGGTTTAGGGTTTAGGGTTTTGCAGGCGCTGGAGGTTTTGTTCATTTTGCATGCGGAGCACGAACTCAACAACAGCACTGCAGCAGTTCTTCATGTTGCTTCTTCGCACTCTGACATTTTCACTGCACTGGCAGCAGGAGTTGCAGCCCTCAGCGGACGCAGACACGGAGTGAGGGTTTAGGGTTTAGGGTTTAGGGTTTGGGGTTTAGGGTTTGGGGTTTGGGGTTTGGGGGTTACGGGGGGGTCTGGGAGTTAGGGTTTAGGGAGGAGGGTTTGGGGGTTAGGGGGCGGCAGGCTTGTTAGCTAGCCAGCTAGCTAGTCAGCTAGCTAGTCAGCTAGCTAGCCAGCTAGCTAGCCAGGCTAGCCAGCTAGCCACACAGCTAGCTATCCAGTTAGCTAGCCAGCTAGCTATCCAGTTAGCTAGCCAGCTAGCTAGCCAGATAGCTAGCCAGCTAGCTAGCCAGATAGCTAGTCAGCTAGCTAGCCAGCAAGCTAGCTAGCCAGATAGCCAGCCAGCTAGCTAGCCAGCTAGCCAGCTAGCTAGCCAGCCAGCTAGCTAGCTAGCTAGCTAGCAGCTGGCTAGCCAGATGAAGGAAAATAAGAAAAGTTAATTTATTTGTTTTGTTTCTGCAGGGCACTAGTAAAGCGGTGGTTGAAATGCTGGAGAAAATAAAATCGAAAAATGATGTTAAAGACTTCCTCGAAAAAGTCAAACGGAGGGAGGCACGCAAACCCTAAACCCTAAACCCTAAACCCTAAACCCTAAACCCTAAACTCTAGCAGTTGTATCACCTCAATCCCAGTTCACGTATGCCTGCTTCTGTTGCTGGTGCTCCCGCTGCTGCTGCTGCTGCTGCGCACTCGCTTCCGCCGCCGCTGCCGCCGCTGCTGCTGCTGCTGCTGCCGCTGCTGCTGCTTCTGCTGCTGCTGCTGCTGCTGCTGCTGCTGCTGCAGGAGCGCTTGATGGGTTTCGGACACCGCGTTTACAAAAGTTATGACCCGAGGGCTTTTATTGTTCGCCAAATTTCCGCAATTGTTTTAAACCCTTTTTGCAACTCCGAAACCACCGCTGTCGCCCTCGAACTCGAAAAGGCTGCGCTCAAGGCAAGCCCTAAACCCTAAACCCTAAACCCTAAACCCTAAACTGCTAGACCCCCGCAAACCCCTGCACGCCCTAAAACCCCGCAAACCCCTGCAAGCCCTAAACCCCCGCAAACCCCTGCAAACGCTAAACCCTTGCAAACCCTTGCAAACGCTAAACCATTACAAACCCTTGCAACCCCTAAACCCTTACAAACCGTTGCAAACCCCAAACCCTTACAAACCCTTGCAAACGCTAAACCCTTGCAAACCCTTGCAAACCCTAAACCCTCGCAAACCCTTGCAAACCCTAAACCCTCGTGAAGCCTCTTCAACCCTAAACCCTCGCGAAGCCTTTCCAAGCCCCTTCAGCCCTAAACCCTCGCCGGCCCCAAACCCTCGAGGCTTCCGAAAGCGCTAAACCCTAAAAAAGGGTTTGCGTTCAGGACGTGTACTTCACGTCTCGGCGTTTGTACCCGAACGTGGACTTTTACAGCGGCGTGGTGTACAGACAGCTGGGCTTCAGCAGCAGCAGCTTCTGTTTGCTTTTTGCTGCCGCTCGAATGGCAGGATGGACTTCACATTTAAAAGAATATTTTGAATTTGAAATTAAAAATGAAGAAAATAAACTTCTGAGGCCTCAACAGATCTTCACGGGAGCCGGCGAGAAAACGCTCAGCTGTCTAGACACCCGGACGCAGGTGAAGCCGAACTTGTTTGTTTTATTATTTTTATCTTATTTTTATTTTTATTTTTGTTTTTTTATTTTTATTGTTCTTATTTTTATTTTTATTTTTGTAGTTTTATTTCTCGGTTCTTGGTTTTGCCTCTTTGTTTGTTTTTTGTTTTGTTTTCATTTTGTTTCGTCCGGAGTTGAATTTAAAATATGTATTTTAAGAATTTTTTCCGCTGTTGTCTTTTATTTACTCATTTACTTCATTATTTCTTTTTAATTTTAGTTTTTCGTCTCATTTTTATTTATTTGTCGCACTAATTAAATAATTGATTTGCATTATTTGAAATTTAATTAATTAATTTATGTATTAATTAATTAATTGATCATTTTGTCTAATTAATTAATAAATTGATTAGTTAATTAATCAATTAACTTTATTTTTATTCTTTATACTTTTTTTGTTTCCGCATTTAGACTGTCTCTACAGCAGACCTCGAGGTCGAAGAGTCCTGCGCAGAACGAAGGCTTCAAACCCTAAACCCTAAACCCTAAACCCTAAACCCTAAACTCTATCGCGCTAAAAGCCAGCGCAGAAGACGGCAGGAGACTGCTGCTTTTTACAACTAAACTCTTTTTATTATTCATTATTTATTTATTTAGTTTACTTATTTTATTTATTTATTTATTTATCTATTTATTTATTTATTTACTTTATTATCGAAATGCATTTATGTTATTTTGTTTTAATTCATTTATTTCGAATTCTTCATTTACCTTCTTATCCAGCTTCCAGCTTCTCCCTGCCTTCAATTGTTCATAAATAAATTAATTAAACAAACAAATAAAATAAATAAAAAACAAATAGGATAAATTAAATGAAGTAAAGCAGTAAAAAACTCATTTATTTATTTATTTTTATTTATTAATTTGGAGTTTTGTTTTATATTTTGCAGTTGTAGAGGCGAGCGGTCGCGCCACTGCAGCAGCGTGCGCCAGAATTAGGGTTTAGGGTTTAGGGTTTAGGGTTTGGAGTTATTTTTGGCCAAAAAAATTGACAATAATTACCAGCAGCGCATCAACAGCAGCTAGCTGGTGACGCAGGGCTGTCTCCCTTGGAGTCACAGCCTGCTGCTGCTGCTGCTGTTGCTGCTGCTGCTGCTGCTGCTGCTGCGAAACAGCGCTCGAAGAGTCGCCTTCGGCGCTTCTGTGGCGACTGCCACTGCTGCTGTCAGTGTTGCTGCTGCTGCTGCTGCAGCTCATTTGAAACGGCAAGGGTCTATGCAGCAGCAGCAGCACCTGCTGCTGCTGCTGCTGCTGCTGCTGATCTGAAGAGTCTGTACACCCTAGCAGCTCCACCAGCATGCTGCGCAGCCGCAGGCAGCGCCGCCGCAGCTGCTGCAGCAAATACGAAACTTCGCAACGCATAGCCTGCACAGCAGCAGCAGCAGCAGCAGCAGCATGAGCAGCAACAGCAGCATGAGCAGCAGCATGAGCAGCAGTGGCAAGGACTGCAACAGTGTCAGCAGCAGAATTCGCAGAAGCTACAGTGGCGGCGGCAGCAGCTGCAGCCAGGCCAAAACCTTAAACCCTAGGCACTAAACCCTAAACCCTAAACCCTAAACCCTAGGCCTACCTCCAGCTCATCTAGCGCAGTCAGAACGAAAAACAACCAACACAGCTGAGGCAAAGAAGTAGCACTTCCAGCAAAAGAGCAGCAGGTGTCTTTTGCATCTGCTGCTGTTGCTGCTGCTGTTGCTGCTGCTTCTGCTGCTGGTGTTGCTGCTGCTGCTTCACCCGGCGTTGCTTCTTCATCTGCTGTTGCTGCGTCTGCTGCTGCCCCGTTTGCTGCTGCGGCTGGTTGCTGTTGCAGCTGCTGTTGCTGCTGCTGTTTGTGTCTGTGCTGCTGCAGCTGCACGTCCAAGTCGCGCAGCAGCAGCTGCAGCAGGAAGCAGCAGCAGCAGACATCGAGGTGCAGCAGCAGCAGCAGCGAGGGGGCAAATCTCCGGCAGTATAATCGCCACTCTGTCTCCCCCCATTCCCGGCAACGCGCGTATAGCTGCTGCTGTTGCTGCTGCTGCTCCTGCTGCTCCTGCTGCTCCTGCTGCTGCTGTTGCTGCTGCTTCTGCTGCTGCTGTTGCTGCTGTTGCTGCTGCTGCTGCTGCTCGTGCAGCTCCCGCTGCTCCTGAAGCCAGGTGCGAATTCTCTTGAAGAAGTCCAGGGCCTCAGACTCCCACGCGGGAAGAGGCGGATGCTGCTGCTGCTGCTGCTGCTGCTGCTGCAGTCGCAGCATCCGTTGGACATAACCCGCGCTGCTACTGGTACTGCTGCTGCTGCTACTGCTGCTGCTGCTGATGCTCTTTGCTGACACACGTGAGGCGCCTTTTGGTGCCGCCTCATCAGCTGAAGTCTTCAGCTGCTGGTCTTGCCTTTTGCTGTTGCTGTTGCTGCTGCTGCTGCTGCTGGGTGCAGCAGCAGCAACATATTGCGGGAGAGTTTTGGCTTCAAGGTGTACAGACAGCAGATACGCCTCTGCTGCTTTTTGCATCAGCTCTTCTTCTTCATCTCCCGAAAGGTGCTTTGCTGCTGCTGCTGCAGCTGCTGCATCTGCAGCAGCAGCAGCAGCTGCTGCTGCAGCAGCAGCAGGAGCCTCACCTGCTGCTACATATGCAGCCGCATCTGGCAGCGGCAAGTATTGCTTCGGCAGCAGCTCGTCGACGCTGTCAGAGCGGCGCCGCGCGGAAGCAGGTGCCATTTGCTGCTGCTGCTGCTGCTGCTGCTGCTGCTGTCACTGCTGCGCTGCTGCTGTTGTTGCTGCTGCTCCTGTTGTCTCCAGGCAGTTGCTGCGTCGCTGCAGGTGCTTCGGATAGCGCTGTTACTGCAGTGGCCTTCTCACTGTTTTGCTTTTGCCGCCGCTGCTGCTGCTGCTGCAGTTCTGGCTGCTGCTGCTGCTACCGTTGCTGCTGCAGCTGCTGCTGCTGCGCAGCAGGAAAACCCAGTCTTCTCAGGTGTGACTCAGAGGATCGAAGGATCTGGAGTGAAGCCACAAAGAAGAGCAGCAGAAGCTGCGGCGCAAACCCTAAATTAGGGTTGAGGCGTCGGGCGCGGGGCCCCCCAAACCCTAGGAGTGGAATAAGGCCCTAAACCCACCCTTTTTTGGATTAATTGGGTAAATAAAGTAAAAAGATGAATTAATTGAAATAAATAAATCCAAAAGGATTTAAAATGGAGCCCAGCAGCAGGAGCGGGGGGCCCCACGGCAGCGGCGACGCCGCTGCTGTACGTACACCCGAAATGCGCGTCGCTGCAGCGCAGCAGCCGGACTTCTCTAGTTGACATTTAAATTAAAATTAATTAATTTTATTGTTTTGTAAATAAATAAAAGACAAAACAAAAGCTATTTAAGTTCGAATTGGCCGGCCCAGGACCCCCAGCAGCAGCTAGCTGGGGGTTAAATCCGAAAAAGTCAAAAAGTCATAAATGACAAAAGTTTTGCTTCTTCTGCTTCTCCCGACTCATTTCTCAGGTGTACATACACCGCAGCTCACTGCAGCAGCGCCCCGCTCCTGCGGTGTCTGGACACCCCAGACCGCCAGCCCGCAAACCCTAAACCCTAAACCCTAAACCCTAAACCCTCGTGCTGCGGGGGCAAATGACTCGATTTTTGGCGTTTCTTGACAAGCAGCACTCCCGCAGCTCCTAAAACACCCTGGACTTGTCTCATTTGATCTATTTTTATCTCTTTTTATCCTTTTTTCCTTTTCTTTTTCCTTTTCTTTTTCTTTTCTTTCCCTCTTTTTTCATTTTTTTCTTTCCAGACTCCCCCGAAAATGCACCGAAATATGCCCGTCGATTTGGTGCTGGTCCGCCACGGCCAGTCGGAGGGCAACCTGGCACAGCGGCTGTGCAGGCAGCTGCAGCAGCAGCAGCAGCAGCAGCAGCAGCAGCTGCTGCTGCTGCAGCAGCAGCAGCAGGGGTGTGAGCCTTCGGGGGCACCTGCGAGCGGGTCTGCGGGGGGCGCGGACGCGCCGCCGGACGCAGGAGCGGGAACAACAACAACAGCAGCAGCAGCAGCAGCAGCAGCAGCAGCAGTTTGGTCTGGAGAATTCAGATCTCGCCACAATTCTCTCTATAGACTCACTGACAGGGGAAGAAGACAAGCAGCAATTGCTGGCGCTTGGATCCGCAGCAACGTGGGCAGCGTCTTCGACAAATACTACACTTCGGAGTATGTGCGGTGAGCTAGGGTTTAGGGTTTAGGGTTTAGGGTTTGGGGTTGGGGGTT